CAGCTACGATTTAAGCAACTCTCATTGTATAGATTGTCATTCGTGTTTGTCTTTTTTTTTCAGGAACTACATTTGGAATTGTACAACGTGGAGCAGTTTTTGACGATTGGTCACTTTGAAAAAGTCATATTGTGAAGTTGGCTGCACATGTTTTTGCTGGCAAGTAAATAGTTCAGTTTTTAAAATCTATCATGTCTGAGAGAAAAGCAAACTTGATGTGACTGACAGCACCCTTCTGAAAACTGTTTGGACAATATTGATCACATCTAACCAGGGTTTTTCCCACGGTGGGTGGCTGTGGTTTCGCTGCCCACTAGTCCTGCTAGCCGCCCAGTTCTTTGAAAAATGTCTTGTGGCCTTCATGTCTTGGCACAGAAATCGCTGTGCTCGGCAGTCTTCTGTGCCAAGACATGCAGGTACAGGTCCCCACAACCCAAATTAATACGACTTGGTCGAGGTGCACGCAGAAAAAAGATGCGGCTGCTGCCTGTGTCCCCCTCCACAGTCATAGTCGGATGTCTATTTGTCCACAATGTATGGAGAAAAATCTGTGTCTAACATTTATTTTCTCCTAACTTGTACAGCTTCACTAGATCAAAGGCCACAGTTATTAAGAAGGCCTTCCACAAGATTGGCTTTTTCCTCATGCGGTTGGCTTCACGTATTTATTTCTTGTAGATATAAAATAACTGGTGTAATGAAAGTTTCAAGGTACCTTTGTTTTAATGGTTTGCTTGTCTCGGCTTGACTTATTTTCACGTTAAATTCGACAGCATTTGTGGGCGAACCTTTTTGTCACTTTTCACCAGTCGGTTGGTCTGTTTCATGGTTTGTGTGACCGATTTGACTCTAGCACAGGCAACGGCAGAGGCACATGATGACAGCTTGGTTTGTATGAGCGCTCACGCAGAGAGAAAGCTTTTTAAAATCTTGCATCTGGCCCTATGCTTTTGTCAGCTCCAAATCCAACTTGTAAATTGGAGTATATGGCATGAAGGTACACCAAAATGCATCGTTCGCACACATCGGAACAGTCTCTTAGAGAAAATTATGAAGAAGGTCCGCCTTTCAACGGGCAACAAAAGAAATGTGCAGTCAGAATGCGTCGACGAGGTGGCCAAGCAAGCTCCTTGAGTGGTAGGCACTTGGGGTAAAGGGAATGGCTAGATCACATTTTGGGGGTAATCAGGTGCACAAAGTGTGGAGCTTGCAAACAGACTTGCATGCCATATATAAATACTCTGTAAATTTTTACCACTCGCTCAACTCAACAGCGTGTGCACAGGTGTGCTCAAACGTGGGTAGGGTGGAGCTCCCAAATTGTAAGATTGGGGACTAGGGACTAAGCTACTGCTTAGTCTTCAGTTTTTGATAGCAGTTTTAGTACACATGCACTCTTTCACCCGCTCAGTTCTGTGAAAACCTTCAGGGATATCTAAAGAGGAATTCAAGTTTTTATGGTCTAAGCACTCGAGGCTGACCACCTGATTCGACAACGAGAAAGAGTGCAACTAGCCCTTCGTTCTAATGGGAGATTTCGAGTGGCTGCCCAAACTTATGAAAGTCTGGGATATGAGCTTAGCCAGTTTTACAAAGATTCTTTTGCAACATCTCATGAACCTTAGAAATAAAGCATTACTCAAACTGGATCGAGTTTTCCGGTTGGTTCATCAGTTCTCAAGAAATGCTTCACATTATAAACCAAATCACTATTGCAATTCCGGCCTTGCATTTTTTTCTAAGTTTCGAACGAATTTAGGCTTGAAGAGTATCGGTTTTGACTAAGGGACAGGAGAACAAGACCCTCAAGTCAAACATTGGTTTTAGATATCGGGTCACAGGATGAACAATTAGAGGCAATGTCCATTTGACTTTTGTATAAGATTCATGGCTAATAATTAAATGGGCTGAGGGGGGCTGTGTTTTATGCACAAGCTCAATTTGCACGTCTTGTTGATATGATATAGATATTTAATTCTTTTTTCTCTGTTTTCTCTTCTTTAGCACATCATGTTACATGCAGCACCTGAAAACGAAGGCAAAACACCATGGGGGGCTCTACTTTGGCTCTTCAATGACCCAAATACAGTGTTCGAAGGTACTTTTCTTATTTTCTCATCAATTATTCAGGTGACATTGCATGATTGCTGCAAGCAGCATAGGAAAGAGTACTCAATATTCGTTTAAAAAGATCCTTTTCCAATTCAAAATTCTGTAACTTTTTTTTATAGAAAACCTGGTTGTATCAGCGTCATAATGAACATTACTTTATGTATAGGGCAGCATCACTAAGGGACTGGCTGTTAAATGAACTGGAGAAATCTGCACCTACAAGGATTGAGCTCATATTCTTACCAAAGGTCTATTTTAGCGGTGAACACCATTGTGACATGTGAAGGCACAGCTCCGTCTCTGTGGAATGTGAAAACAGCATTCTATTTTCAAGCATGAGTGCCGACGCAGATGAGTGAGAGTGACGTTTGGTGTTGTCGAGAAGGTGCTTTATATCGCTGTTTAAAAATGCAATGACTGCGGTGGTCGTTCAGACTGCAGATAATGTTTTGTAATCCCACTACCTTCTATAATTGTGCACATTGGTCTGAATGCCAAAACTGACAGAAGAAAAAACAACTGACATTGAGGAAACTTGCTGCAGATGCATTGCTCAGCTATGTTGCCTGCTTTCCACAACAGGTTGTGGCAGCTCTCGATTGTATACATTGGTGCCCATTGTCAAATTTAAATAATTTAGTTCTATTTTTCACAGACTGGAGTTGCACCTTAAATGTTTTCATGGGAATCTGTGTCACAAAAAGAAAACCTTTGATAAGTTCAGCTTGCTAAATGAAGGCATTGATTCTTTTCGCTCATTTTACAGCCCACCTTTCTATTGCCACCGCCCTATGCGGAGAGAAAGTCGTCTGCTTCTTGCACAGACAAACGGTGACGAGCTCTCATTGGCTTTGATTGGAAGGATATAGTGGGTAGACCACAATGCTAGACACCATGAGGTCTACCCCCTATTTTTTTTGTTCAATCAGACAATAAGAGCTCGGCCTTCTGACATCACCGTAACCCCTGTGCAAGAAGCAGACAAACTTGTGCTCCCCATAGGATTACGGATACTCAAGAGTGCTTTCCGTAATATAAGTTACTGAAAGCCTACCCTGTTTGCCCTTTTACCGACAACTTGTAAGCACTTTTACGGATACTAGAGCGATTTCCGTAATAGGTTTTACGGAATGCGTATTCCAGTCCGTTGTTTTACGGACAGCTCTTGAATAGCGTTACGGATAGTAGAGCACTTCCCGTAATCTGTTTTGCGGAATGTCCTTTTATTTACGGATTGTGTACGTGTTTAAAAGGATTTTTCCGTCATTAGAATTACGGATGACCTTTCCGGCAGCATAGGTGCCAGAGATTTTCTCCGTAAAAAAGGGCAAAATTTTTTACAGATGGGGTATTGGCATTACCGCTATGTCGCAGCTCGTTATTATTGTTTCATGAAGAGCGCAGACAAAAAGCATCCGCCAGCCTAGTTCAGATATGTCTGCTGCTCGTGTCCATCCGTGGAAGCCAGGGCTGCCTGTCGTAGCATGCATGCTTGCTCTCTAGCTTCAGCTGAGTCGCATACGTTTTGTGAATTAAAGTACACGGTCGTCCCGAAAGGTTCAGACATCGAAGGCGTTTCTCTGAAACATGCTTTGGGTGCACGTGGGCCCGTTTGTGAAGGATGTCCCTGTTGCCTAAAAAACGCAAATTTCAAAAGTGAAAGAAAAAAACAAGAACTAAGGACGGGTACACACTTATTCCCTTGTTTGAATTCAATATGAGCAGCTGTCACCATTGCTGAGAAACCCTCAGCACCGGCATTAGGTTCCAAGTTGCTATAGCATTTTTGAACTTCTGCATTGGAAAGGACGCAATAACATTGGTAAAATGTTTGCTCCAAAAGTGAGAATGTCTGCCCCAAGACCAGTTTTTGCCTGCTACAAGAGCTCCAAATCACCATTTGTCAGCTCCACCATTGCAGTTACCACTTGCTTTAACTTAATTTATTCTAACTGTGCTGTTTGTTTTACCTTTTCAGATCGAGCATCGCTCAAGGCAGGCATTTTCTGTGACCTAATAAAGATACAACAGGTTTGATTTTGCATTTTACTTGTCATTTTATTGGCTGTTCTCCCTGAAGTTAACTTGCAGTGATCCTATGGCAGTCGAAAGTATGTAATAGCTTCTCTGGCAACGCTGCAATCTGGTTAGCCTATCCTATCAGCTCAGCAGTGATCACAATCACACCTTGCATCAAATACGTTCCATCAAAGACCACCACAATACGTTCCATCAAAGACCACCACATACGTAATTTGGGACATTCCATCAGTGGCAGTCAGACGTCGTCTGATGGACCATCAGGGCACGTTCCACCAGGGCTGCTGACTGGCAGTCAGTGTCCCAAATTACGTACCTTGATGGAATTTTCAATAGGGTAACTACCTTTTTTGAGTAATTTGTACATGTCTGCTTCCGCGTCGTGCGTATGGCCATCTCCGGTCAAGGTGCAAGACGTCGTGCGTATAGCCTTACTCTTTTTCGTAAGTGTTCGGGCCAGGGACATTCCGGAGTCGTATATGTTCGTGTGTCCGGTAAACGCAGTCGCGTAGCCAGGAATTGTTTTCAATAGGGAAGGGGGAGGGAGGGGAGGGGTGAAGGTGATTGGGATGTCCATGACTTGGGGGCGGAGGGGGTGGGAGGCTCTAAATATATGTGTATAGTATAGGGTCGGCTGGGGGGGGGGGGGGGAGGGGGGAAGGTTCTGAAATCCCGAAAGCCTCCTCCCTGGCTATGCGACTGGGTAGACGTGGTGCTATTCAAACTTGTCTAGAAACACTTGTATGACAAGAAAGCGACCCTTAAAAGTTGAGGAATGTATGCGACAACTGTACAAACTGTGCGCGAGCATCTGTCCTACCTCCCTTAGTGTGTCCTCTTTATTCTAGATGTCTGACGCCGACCTGCGTATTTTGGCCATCGACCCCAGGATGCCCGGCTCAACCCACGACTCATATGTGTGGAGGCGTTCGTGGGTGCGCCAGGAGTGGGTCGCTGGCCATCTTGTCAGGCACAATGAGTACCTGCTTGGTGAGTGATCTTAATTCAGCACCGTGAAGGCCCGTTCAGACACTTGCAGCCAAGTACGACGAAATGAGACAAGACCGGTTTCTTAAGCGTCTCACTACTGGGTGCGTTGCTGCGGAGCTGGTAGTAAGCCATCACAAGAGGCTTAAAAACCGGTCTTGTCTCAGTCGGTTGCAGTTAATCGCAAGTGTGTGGAAAGGCCTTAATGTTTCAGTCAAAGGCGACCACCATTTAAGTCAAATCAAGGTTCGTGGAGAAATTTTAGTTCTTGAGATATAGAAATAGAACAGGCATTATCAGTTTTAAGGCATCTTTGTTATGAAGCACATGCTTGACACTGGTAGGGAGTTTGAGTAGGGCAATCTACACCTCCAAGAATGACACTCTATAGATCGATACGATGCACGCGCAAAGGCGTCAGCAAACTACTAGGTATTGTTTTTGGACGTACCGCAGCAATTGATTTCTGGTTTCTGTGAAAGCCTTCTCCTCATGAGATACGAGTGAGGGACTAGAGATGATCAGTAGCACTTGTGTAAAATGGTTCAGATGTCTAAGGAACAATCATATTTCTTTCCTTGCAGGAGACAGTGGGTACCCCCTGGAGCCCTGGCTGAAAACTCCTGTGCCTGTGCGGCCAGCACTTGGCACAACGGCTCGGCAATACAATCAGGCTCACGCCTCCATGAGGGCAGTCGTGGAGCGCTGCACCGGGCTGCTGAAGAGCAGGTTCCGGTGCTTGCACAGGCACCGAACCCTTTATCATCATCCGAAGATCGCCGCCACGATCGTGGCAGCCTGTGCGGTGCTCCACAATGTCTGCCTCTGCTCAGGAGAGGCTGAGCCAGAGCCCCAGTCAGACTCAGACAGCAGTTCTGACGAGGACGATGACGAAGAAGAAAGCGCCGACGCGCTCGCCTACTAAAGGTAGACCAGGGTGTAAGATAGACAGGTGGGGAAACGGCCCATAGAAGCCTACCGCAGCGCCGTCACCGGATTGTGTACTCGTCTGCCTGCGGGTACCGCCGATTTGCGACAGATGGCGCTGCGGCGAGAGGAAAAAAATTGGAATCGGATTTGCATGGAACTTTATGAAAGAGTTCGCAAAATAAACCGAGAGCACGACAGTCCTCCATTAAAAATCCACGAGAAACCATCTCCGTCAGTTTAGCCGGTCGCCACCGGTCGCCCACCTGGAGTGAGAGTTCGCGGTGCTCCACATAGATGGCGCCACAGAAAAAGAGAAAACCGAGGGGGACACAATCTGGGCGCTAATTTGGCTCTCGTTTCCCCACCTGTCTATCTTACACCCTGAGGTAGACATATTCAACCGGTTTCCAGGAATGAGGAACTGCTGATTGCTACTTGTGTTGTTTCTTTTTCAAAACAAGCTATGTCGGTATTGTTGGCGATTTTCATCACATGTTTTTAAACCCCCTTTCACGGCTTCGTCCTTAGACGGCCAGGTGCTGTTAATATTTTATTCGCTTGAAATGGTCAGTGAGCGAACCTGCCTCCACAATTTTTTATTCTAGCCGATAGATGCCATCGATTTTGCTGGTGTCACCAGTATTACACTAGCCTCTTTCACATAAGAGCTTACAGGCCACTGTGTACACGTTTGCAAGTCCGGTCTCAAGGCGCTGCCATCTTGCTCACTGAGGTGCGCTTGGGCGTGACCATAATTCGATTACGACGCCTTAGCAAGGCTTCGTAATCGAATTATGATGCGTCCAAACGCACCGTAGCCGAGCAAAATGGCAGCACTCTGAATTGGGACTTGCCAACGTGTCTAATAAAGGGGGATGCAACAATCTTGTGTACACATTTTAGGGCCCAGAGTTACGTTATGAAAGTAACCATCATGCACTGTGAGAACAAAATAAAATGATTCCATCTTGTAAAACAGAAGTTTATAACCATTCCATTGTAACAATCACCATCTTGTGACGTAAATATTTACATTGGTCTGCAAAAAGAAAGGTACTTCTTGTGATTGAAATATTATGTACATTAAAAGGAAAAAAAACATTAAGGCCACGTCTTGGTACACAAAAATAATTAAAAAACAAATATTAAATAAAAGAAAGCTGCCAAGCCGCAGCTCAGTCGAGAGGCGGAGGAGTGGGTGGCCCGTAGGGCAGAGGCAGGCACGGCTGCCGGGTGGCCGAGGTCACCAGGACCAGCAGCAGCAGCACCAGTGTCAGCTGCCGGATAGCAGAGATTTGCTGGAATGGCAAAAGTTTCGAATGATGAACATTCCCACTACAGATCACTTATAGAGAATAACCAGGGTTAACTGTATTTTGGCCATACTCTGAAGCCAAGTAATGTCTTACGCTGACTGTTTCCAATAGCAGAAACATGCTTCACTTGGCCTTGTGTTTCAGGCCATCTACATATTACAAGATAGGAATGATACTCTGGGCTAGAATCTCAGGAGTGAAATATTGGCATTGAGAGTACACCATGCTCCTTGGAAGGGGAGATGGCACCTTCTTCCATGAGGACTAAATAAACGTTGGGAAATATCACTTAATTATGTTCCATGAAAGCAGTTATGAATATATGTTTGTATATATATATATATATATATATATATATATATATATATATATATATATATATATATATATATATATATATATATATATATATATATATGGGTGATTTCATTTAAATTCGACCAAACTTGTCGGGGGGGGGTCTTTAGATTTAATCGTAAAAAATATATATGATACCCGAATTCTTGTGATGAAAGAAACTGCCTTTGAAAAAAATTAGAATTGTATAGTTTGAGAGAAAAAAATTCTGAGGCGCTGCAGGGTAGAAAACGTCAAATTCCCAATTTGATATTATCTCGACTTTAGCCGCCATTTACAAAATATCGAATTTTCGCAGAATTATTATATTTATTACGCAATATTTACGCAGACTTGGCTATTTTTAGAGGTAAATTTCTGTCTTCTGTTATTTTAAATTAATTTTCTACAAAATCTCAAACATGCAACCTAGAGCAAGTGTGACGCAACTTCGGACAGCTATATAAAACGAACGGTAGGGCACAATGACGTGAGACAGATATATGTGCGTAGCTATCAATGTAAGCTATCGATTGACATGTATTTTCTGGTTATTGTGTTTACCGTGTTGTTTTTATTCTGCCACAAATATAGACAAAAATGAAAAATATGCAAATTTTGAAGTCAATTTTCTCAAAAAATCCATTTTTTATTTCGTTCATACTTGTTTAATTTATTGCCCAGATTCTGCTTAATAACCGGGTATAAATATTGCTTGACCTTTTTTTGTTGTAGTTTTAGGACAACCAGTTGAATAAGTCATTTTTATCGCGTAATACCAACCTCCGGCTCCGGTATGCGGGCTTCACCGCAACATTGATAATTGGCTCAGCAATATCAGATTTCACTGAAAACTACTTTACCCCGTTGAATTTTTACTAATATATTTTTAAAAAAATCAGTAACGTCATAAAGAAATGAGAGATGGCTGAATTGACGAAGTGATGTCTGCGAAGTCACAGCTTGCATTTTCGAACGTCGCCACGACAACGTTTTACTACTGAGGTTGCACGAAACTTATATATTTAAATTATTTGTTTGAACATTGTGCCGTGATAAACAACAACAAAAGTAAATTTAGTTAACATCAATGTTAACTAGCCTAATTTAGTGGAGAGATCCAAGACGTTTCATCCGTTTCGATCATGTCGGGTTGCATTCTACGGCACTATCCAGTCCAGAAAAACAATATCCCCGTTTATGCGTTTCGGACAATCTTTATTTTATACAAACATTATCGGAAAATCGGCTCGAATTTTTTAAATTTACCGCATGGCATTCTTTCGCCTATCCTTCATTGGCCCTTAGTATTCCGAGGTACGTGAAAAAAAAATTGACTACATTTTGTCCATCCTTCGGCTTTTGGACTACTTGTTGCATACGTTTAAATTTTTTGGGCTACGCACAGCATATCGGAAGTTGCTTTTCAGCTTACAGTAATCATACTCTTTTGTTGGCAGTATGCAATAAAACATTCATAGGTAACAGTTTAACAAAATCACTCTATTTATTGAGTAATTTATTTGGGTTAACAAGGCACACATATAGAAACACATAATTTTTCACAGAAGCGCAAATGTACAAGAAGAGGCTTTAACAACAAAACAAAACAAAGCCGTAGATCATCTGAGAGTTCCGCACGTGCACCACAGAGGTTCATGCATTAAGACGAAGATAGAACAGTTCGCTCAAGCTGCACTTCGCCCCTTTCGCGTCGCCACACGTGCGAAGCGCGGATGCCTTTCCGAGTCGGTACGCAACTCCACTCTGTTTTCTTGATTCTACGGAAGTCACTCACCTCCTTCTCGGTTAAGTTCATGAGAGTTACGTTTTTGACACGCCTTCCAACCTTGTCCACAAAATCTACTGATGTTCGGACGAGCTGCTCCTCCGGTGAACGGAGGTAGTGCACCGTTGCGTGGTGTTTGGGAAGCCCTCCAACCCCGTCACAAGAGTTTTTACCATGCCCAGAGGCAGAAAGTATCCACTTCAATTGGGTATGGCCCACTCGTTCGAACTCATGCAGCCGAAATCTATTTTTAAAATGAGCAGGTGCCCCGTCGGATATGTACGTTAGTGAAGCGTAAACTGGGATGTGCTCCTCCAGCCAGTCTTCTATAAGTCTCAGAGCCAGCAGCGCATGGGAAGTGTCATGACATAAGTCCTCACAGACAACGCCGAAGCATTTTGAGCCTTGCGACGTGGATGCCACACACGTGAAAACAGAGAGCTGACGCTTGTGCCAGTGGTACTCCTGTATCTCGTGTGGCAAAATTACCGTCCAGTTCTCCGCAAAATCGAAGTGCATGACGATGTGTCTTGAGGTCACACTAGACTTCTCAATCCGTATGGCTTCCCGTTGTGTCCTACGAATAAAATCGTGCGTGGAAAACCTTGTGGCCCATTTCTGTAGCTCTTTCAAAAAGGCGCTGGAGTCGGCAGTCTTGCTTATCAAATTACCATTCTCCCATGTGAAAAATGTAATTTCCTCTTCAGGCACCATTTCCAATGATTCTAAGGAGAGTCTGTCAGTCGAGGGGCAGTCTTTGCATTCGCCTCTGAAACATTCGGACGAGGGTTCAGGGCAGAGGCACAAAGCGAGAATCTCCTCTTTTGTTATTTTTTTCTTCTCGCATGCTGTTCAGGGTGGAAAAGCACAAATCGAAATTCGTACAGCACACACATGCACAGACAGTCTGTTCAGGGTTTAGCTTGACCCACTTTGGCCGCAGCGAGTAAAATTTAGTCAGACCTAATTTTGAGTCCGGGTTTGCTTCCTTAAACAGCCTGTACGTCTCTCGGACAGACCTTGTCATATACCGCTTCACGACCACATGTTCTTCGCCATCCTTCAGAAGCTTAACAGCATCTTTTTTGTTTGGGCTCTGCCGAGAACAGTCGAGATTGTCGTCGGTGTAATATTGCGTGGCTGCCCGTATGGTGTCCTCGCTTATGCTTCCACCGTGATAAGGCTCCGGACGCTCCCATACGCCGAACCGTTCACGAAGCTGCTTTGATTTCTTCAGAAGGTACTTCGATGCCTCAGGAATTAGCCGTTCTACCTCCCTAGTGGCTACGCCCTTGGCCACAAGCGTGAGGAGCTGACATCTCTCCTGGTAAGATGCCGCCTTCACAAAGGCCTCTCTGATGTTTGCCCACCACCCGTCGCAGCCGAGGCATGGTTGATCACTGCGAGAACTTGACCCACTTGGCTCCAAGGTATATGCAGTCGCCAACTTTTTTCGTACCTGTCGGCTGTGTGATCCTTCAATCTCCCGCTGTTTTCTTTCAGCATATGCCTGACGGCTTTTCGGGTTTACTGTAGAAGGCATGCGCAAAGGAG